GCCTGCTCAATGTATTCAGTTCTGGAATTCTTTTAAGGCTTAAAAACAAATATAAATACACTTCCAGCATGGAAGCTTGGTGTATACAGCTATTTTTATCATTATCAAATTATTTTTGTTCTTGACATGGCATGAAAATGGCTCTTTAAGGATTGTCTCATGACAACCAATTTGCATCCACTAGTTGATACAGAATGAAGCAGAATGATGAAACGGGGGTCCCTATGTCCTCCAGAAGTCTAAACCTATAGCAGCATAACTATAGAGATAGCTCAGGAGTAGTTGACTACAATAAGTGCTCCTAATGCTTCCTAATATTTCTATGAAGCTTTTTACTGTTTATGTTTGTTGATCTTAAAGTAAAGTCTTTTTAAAGAACTAGATGACATATTCAATTCAATTCCGTTTTGAATATATACCACCAAGTCACAATACATGTGATTTCAGGGCACTTAACAGATGCAGATGTGATTCATGTTGAAGAAAGTAACAATAGATTAAACATTATACATTGTTTACATACAATGTCTAAAAAGACAGACCATTTTGTTTTGTTTTTTGTTATGTTTTTCTTTATTTTTTGATTGCCTGGCAATTAATTATACTTTCTAAATACCATAAGTACAGAATAGATTTTTTGTGTGACCTTTTTTAAATTTCAGAGGTCTAACTATAAGTGGTAGAATGACCTCTAAATTGTGTTACTAACTGAAGGTCAGATGCTTTTAGTATCTTTCCACAAGGTTTCAATAATACAGTAGTTTGCTAAAATATAGTCCATCTATTCCACTGTAGGCCTACTGGTGTAACTGAGTCAGGTTTTATGGTTAAATTATTGCCTACATCTTTTACAGCTTTGCCACATATAATCCTGAAACCTTTGGTTTATCCTCTTATACCATCCTTTCTCACATAGATCAAGAAAGGTAGGAACCTTTTGCAGGGTCATTTGACTGAGAATCTAAACAAGTTTCCTTCCTCCACTATCTTAAAGTTACAGCGTGTTCAATTTACCCCATGCATTCATTTTTTAAGTGCAGCTACTTCATAAATTGTCTCCACCTGCTAAAAGCTACCCCAATGTTGACCCTTGCTTGCTCCTGGTTATTACCTCTTTTTCTTTTCTTGGTTATTTTCTCTTTCTCCTCCCTGTGAAAGAGTATAAGTGGTCCTCCATTTTAAAGGAAAAGAGGCAAGTAGAATCATCTTAGATCGCCTTTGCATGGTTTACTCTCCTCCACCAACAACAGCTGTTCACAGCAAGGTGAAATGCGCAAGGCTAACAAGTTTGTCTGTTTGGCTACAGTATTGGTTACTCAGCAGAGTAACTTTTTTCCCAAAAATGTACTTTAAGAAGTAGTTTTACACTTGATTCAGAAGATGTAATTACCTGTACTTGAGTAAAATGTTTGGTTACTCTCCACTGTGAATAGCTTCACTGAAAAATGAGCTGGCTTTGTTTTGAAAAAAAAAAAAAAAAGTGCTCAGAACAAAAAAGTAAATGTTTATGTTAAAATGAGTGTTTTTTTTTTTGTTTTTTGTTTTTTTACAAAAGCTGATTGCAGTATATATGTGATGAATTTGACGTGAAATTTTGGAGACCAAGCCAATATAAACGGAGTAGCCTAAATATTGTCACTGGAGGTACTTTATATCGTTCTAAGTTGTATATTGATAAAAAATATCTTCTGCATGGATTTGATATTTTTCAATTACATTATTCATTAGTTTTTATTATTTTATTGTAGCCTCTAAAATATCAAAAGTTCATGTTCTTATTACATAATATCAAATCTTGTTCAGTTACTCATTACTCGTGTAGTGACTTGTGTTTTGGATCGCTGTCACATTAAATTACGTCCCATTCACAGCTTCCGGGCTGATTATTGACATTTTTACCAGTAATATTTGCTGATAAAGTGCTACATTAATCTTTTCTTCAATTTTGACCAAGAACTAGTGTAAGAAAGTTCCCTCCCTTACCACACCTGGGTCTGGGTCTCAGAGGCAAATTAAAAGAGAAAAGTACATCAAAAAAGCCTTTTTATTTACCGGAATGACTACCTACCTAAGTGTCCAGGTCAAAATGACCCACAGCATCATATTTGTACACATACTCTGCACAGACACTCCACCACACATCAGAGTGACTAGATTTTACATACATGTTCATGACCCCAGATAAAGAAAAGTCACTAAATTTCATGAAGAAGAAAAAGAACATAACCAGTACTTTGATAAACACAAAAACTGAAATGGGTCAAATTGACCGTTAACATAATATAAGAGTAAACCATTTTTTTTTTTACTCTTACTTGAGTAAATGTGTGGATAATTATTTTTTAATCTTACTTTAGTAGAAATATTATGAAGTGTCTTTTTTTTTTTTTTTTTTTTTCCTGGTGCTACCCACATCTGCCAACGCCCCAGTTTACTTTTTATATCACTAACTTTTTCCCTAAAATTGGCAAACTTACATCTTCTTTGATCTTGACCTAAAAGTGTGCTGAGTTCACCCCGTGTTTTTCAACCCTGGTCCTCAAGGCAAACTACTTTATATACATGGGTGGGTCTAGACAGAGGCCAACTAGGGCCAGTGCCACTGTAGAACAGGTCCTGGCCCCTATTAGGGTCCCTGTCCTTAAAACATACACTGAAAAAAATAATACAACTGCTTTTGGCATTTAATTATTCATAATTAGTTTCTTTGACACAATTGTTTTATTTCCTACCCTGCTAACATGAAACAATTATGTTAAAGTAACTAAATATGATTAAGTAAAAGGCAAAAATAGTTGCATTATTTTTTTTGGTGCACACTACAAAAATTAAAATATAAGTAAGTCTGTTTTTTTTTTCTTAGAATGCATAAATTATCCCTTGATGTGAGTAGGTGGATGAGAGATATTGCAGATGAAATACAATTTTTTACATGTAAAATAAGAGAAAAATCACAATTAGTCTATCTTATTTCAGGTGCATCACATCTCATTTTCTGATTTTAAGGGCAAAACAACTCAACTACTTTTATTTTTTTGTTTGTATTTTCTTAAGATTGAAAAAATCCCTAAATAAATAAAATAAAATAAATAAACTAGTGATCTAGAACCCGGTTTTAACACGCCTGATTTTATTAAATAAAAAAATTTGCAAATATCTGAATCAGGTTTTTTAAAACAGAAAAAAAAGAAACATTCAGGGCAACGTGCCTTTGGGAGCAGGGTTAAAAACATTATTTATTTTTTTTCCAACTTTATTGTTTATAACATTAATTACATGTTTCAGTAGGAATCTCCATTTAGCGTTTTTACAGAAAAAAAAAACGACGAGAAATTCAACTTAACTTTTGCAAGGCAAAGGAAGAAGGTACAATTAAATTAACAGAAAAAAAAATAAAATAAAATAACAGGCATTTATAATAAATCATAGTAAACCAATCTCCAAAAGGATATATACATGACATGTAGAATTCAAAATCAACAATTAACAGAGACATACTTATTTAGGCAGTGCGACAAATCATGTTAACTTGAGTTAAAACACAAGAAATCGTGACATGTCGTTACATAGCTTTTGTATATGTCCATATTTGTCAGCTAACAAGGATAAAGATGAATAGAAGAATTTGAGTTCATTTTTAAAACATATAACTGAAGGTTCTTGATTTTTCCATTTACATACATGTATATGATATTTTCCCATACTCATGACAATATTGATTATGTCCGATAAATCTTTCGCAATAACATTTTTGTATGATAGTATGTGATTTATATTAAATGGTGTTATATTTTCTATTTTGGTAGTCAACCAAATATGCATGTTCTGCCAAAAATTACATGTGACTCTACACGAATAGAAGAGATGCTCCACAGCAGGGGTCTGCAACCTGCGGCTCCAGAGCCACATATGGCTCTTTGGA